CCACCTCTGGGGGGATGAAGGCCCTTGTCTCACCAGAAGAGGTAAATGAGGATCTCCAGGTGAGACACCTATTGGAGGCTGCTGCATACCTGGGAGCTAGAGGGGAAGCATTATTTGCAGGTGGCAATGAGTCAATAAAATGAACATTCTTCAGTGTCTTTTAAGTTTGGGGATTGAGTCTAGGAACTGGGATCAAGTATTGATCTTGGGGGAAGGTAGGCTGAATAAGCTCAGAACCAGGTCAGCAAGGTCATGTCAGGTGGTGATGTAAAAATACTTTGGAAAAACAAATAAACCAACAAATAAAGACCTGAGGAAATATAAGAAGTCAGGGAAAGCCAGTCAGAGGGGCTGACATTTGGGCTGAGAAAACCCAAAAGATCAAATGGTGCCAACCATGCAGAAAGGTAGTCCAGACAGAAGGCACAGCAAGGACAAAGATTCTGCAGTGGGGACAAACACAGGGAATCAGAAAGACCAAAGTGGTTGGAGGGTGGTGAACCACAGGGAAGAGGGTCCAAGATGGGTGGGAAAGGCATGTAGGGCCACACCACGTGGGGTTGGGTGGGATTTTATTCCAAATGCTTTGATGTATTAGTGAGCTACTGCTGTGTAACAAATCACCACAACCCTACTTTAGCAACTTAAAACAAAACACTTTTTTTTTTTTTTTAAGTCTAATAGTCTCTGTGGTCAGGAATCTGGGCAGTCCTTCTCTGAGTCATTTACTTAAGGGTGTTTCACAGGGTGCAGTCCCAGCATCGGGCTGGCCTGTAGACATCCCAAGTTCAGCCAGGGAAGACTGGTTATTGGTAGGATTCAGTTCCGTGTAGGCCATTGATCAGACACCACCCTTACTTCTTGCCATGTCAGCCACTCCAACATGGCAGCATGCTTCATGAACTGTGCAAGCCGAGGAGGTGACAGAAMCTGCTAGCAGGGTTGAAGTTACCATCTTTTGTAACCTTATCACAAAAATGACATCCATCTCCTTTGACATRATCTATTGGTTAAAAGAAAGTCACAGGTCCCACCCCCACTCAAGGAACCCCTGGGGTCGGATCACCAGGAGCATTTTAAAAGTCTGTGTGACACAGACCATTGGAGGTCTGAGAAGGGAGGTGACATGATCTGTCCTATATTTTCAATGGGTCACCTCAGCCTCCTTGGGCACTGGGTGTGTGAGGGGGGCTGGGCAAGAGTGGAAGGCAGATAGTTAGGGGTTCCTGGGAGAGATGACACTGGATTGAAGGGAGGAGGTGACAGTGGAGAGGCAGAGAAGTCAGATGAAAGAGTGGGGATGACACCAGGGCCCGCTGAGACGTGCCCCCTACCTGGGGGACGATGGTGCCTTGGACTCTCATGTTTCTCCTGGACAGAGAGGGTGGCAGTATCCTCATTCTCCTCCAGCCCTCCCGAGGCCATACATTTGCTGGATGGCTGGCCAGCTCCAGAGGACCAGCCCATGAGCAGAGAACAGATGTCTCCTTGTGCCAGGTCAAGTGACTGACCCCATGTCCTCATTCTCATTAACCTGCACATGCTCAACCAAAGCCAGAGAGGGAGGCCACTCACCTGCACCTGTGCTCACAAAGTCCGAGGAACTGGACAGGCACAAGGGGGTGGGGTATGTATGTACCCGATCCCATGCACGCAGGTGTATGTWTGTGTCTGTCTCAGGTGGGCTGCAGTTGGAGTGGGGAATCGTCCAGCGCAGAGAGTCATTAAAACTGACCTGAGAATCTTAGGGCATCACTAACAAGTTCCAGAGACAAGACTTTTCAATTGACATAAAGTCTTTATCTACTATACCTATCAAGATGAACCATTACTTGTTCACCATTTGTAATATGACTACATGGGACCACCTTACTGCTAAACATCTCATTGACATCTCATTTTATTCTCATAAGAGCCCAGTGAAGTTGACACTCAATTTGTTCCATTTCCTACTTAAGAAAACTGAGGCTTAGAAAGTTAAGTAACTTGCTCAAGGTGATGTATCACAGATTTGACCCTGGACTGTCTGACTCYATTGAAATCCATGTTCTCAATGGCTGCTATTGTCTCCCTGCCTCTGGTTTAGGTTGGTGGAAGATTAATTTCCTGGTTGCATAGAGGAAATCAGGTGGGTGCCACTTGCTACAGGGACTGGATTAGCTCTGACCAGAGCAAGGGGCAGGTGGTGCCCCCTGGTGGTAGTGGTAAGGAAGGACCAGTGGGTGGGAGCTTCAGGTTGCCCTTTTAGTGAGACACAGCTGTGTCCCAGGGAGCACAGAGAGGGTTCCATAGAGTCCAGCTGCCCCAGGCAAAGGGCTAGAGTGTGTCTCCTTTCCCAGGGCCCYGGGGATGTCCTCGTGCCTCCTGCCCAGGCAGCCAGGCACTGATCAGAAGTGATTCACACCAGTAACCCAAATGACATCACCAAACGCCGCATTCTTATTCAAACCCAGGCTTTGCACCTCAATTCTGACTCCTGCACATAACACACTGGCATCACCTCAGTTACAACTCAGGGCCTCTGACTTTGGCTAATTTAGAAGTCATTGCTGGACTGTGTTTGCTACCAGGGTCCAGGTTTGTGGGGAAGGGGTGTGTGCACTGGCTGGAATTTCCTGGGGACCACCATGCCAAGGTGCCACCCTATGGGGAATCAGATAGGGTGGGGAGTAAGGCAAGATAGGAGGTGCCCTGAAGCTCAAGGAGCATGGCAGGGCCACAAGGGTTCTGGGGAGGGGGCTGGGAAGGTATGAAAACAGATTTTTAAAACATCAGGACAGCTAGGTGTMGGAGCCTGGGTTAGAACAAACTCTGGTTTGTTGCTTCTGAGCACAARACAGAAGCAGAGCTGGCAAGGGGAATCTCTGAGAGGTTCCAGTGGCTTCTCCTGCAGTGTCTGTCCTCCAGTCCTAAGAGCCCCCCACCCCCACCTGGGGAGGGTGCAGGGTGAGTGGGTGCGTGGCGCAGGTGGGGACTCTCAGTGCCTGCTTTCTATTTCCAGCTCCTATCACTGACTCATAGTGTGACCTTGCTGAGGTCATGGCTCTGTGTTTCTTGRGAGGGGGGCCGCAGGGGGATCAGAGGTGACAAAGTTTGCCTTTTCCCCASGGATGGGAGTCCTAGACTATGGGGGACCTCCTGCTCCCCATGAGCCCCAGCTATGTCTGGTCCTACTGATAAAATTATTAAAAAATTGTAGATTTGGATCCAAGGGATGGGGGGCACTCAAAGCCAAAAGCAAGTTGTCCCTGCCATTTTAAGAGGCGTGGCCACTCTTAGATGATGTTTCTCCCGTGTTATACAAAGCACAGTCCCATACAAATAATTCCCCGCATGGGGAATTAACATCACAGCAAGGGGAGAAGGGAAGCCCTTTCTCCTTCACTTCAAGAGGAGGGACTTGAAGCAGTGGGTGGAATTGCACAATCCTTTCATTACCTTTTACTATTTTGCTACCCCTCGACACCCCTCCCCCCACCTGCTAGGCACTCATTGACAAAATGCTCTGCGTTTATTAGGTAGAAACTCGTGGTTTTCATTCATCAAACTCACTCATGAGTGACAGTTAAAGTTTCTGCCCAGCACAGARGAACTAGTGCTATCTCGGAGCTCGCTGCCAAGAATGACAGTGCGACGCTGGATGACCTCTTYGTAGGTAAAAGACCAATTTTTCACCAGACTTCCTGAAATTTCCAAGAGGTCATCTCCAACAGACCCAGGCTGGGAAGCCTCCAGAAAGACTCTGGCTTGTGGTGGGGTCAGGATCAGACCTGAAGCTCAAGGAGCATGGTGGGGTTCATAGGCTAGTCCTCCAGCCAAGCAGCCCACTTGGCAGGGAGGCCTGTGTGCCCCCTGAGACCCAGGTGCACAGGAGCATCAGTGCAAGATGGCAGCGCAACCAAATGCAGGCGTCATGAAGCAATGATGCTCAGGGCTCAGACCAGGGGCCCCTCAGTACTGGGCTGAGCATTCTGAACCAAGCCTGAGGTTGGAAAAGCACAATAGATCATTTGAAGGTGCTTCTGCAAGAAGAGTGGGGGTGGGGAGGGCTCTTCTGCTACCCATTTGCACTGTGTGTGACTCTTGAAAACGGAATCACTGAATCTCACACCTACTCAGGAGSGTTCAGACCAGTCTTTCCAATGCTCCTTTTCAAGAGAGTGAGACCARAGATGGAAGCCGAACCCTCCAGGCTGGGGTCAATAAAGGCATGCTGGGACCCCTGGAAGAGTGGGAACATAGACAGGGGACACCGGAGGTCCAGTTTGGTAGCCTGGGTATAAGCAGGGGAAGAGCTTATGGACTCTGAGCACATCAAAGCTCCCAGGGTGCCTCCTCCTCCTCTGGACTCCTGCAAACACTCTTCTCTTGGAACCCTTGGCTCCATCCCAGAGGCTCAATTGTTTGATCCCAGGGCTCAGAGGCGTCAACAGCCTGTACCTTTGGAAAAAGACTGGGGGCTTAGCTCTGTGGTTTCAGAATCTCAGGCTCCACCAATCCCTAGCAGGGCCAGGGGCCTGGGCAGGGGCTCTGGGAGCCTGTTGCCCCCACAGCTGTTCCCTGWGCTATTTTGGTCCCCGGGGAGCTAGTCAATTCCAGGGTATTTGGACCAAAATAGCTGATAGYAGGACCATCTCCTGATGGCTCTGTGTGGACCTCCCCACAGGAAAGTTTGTAAAGTGGGTGTGGGGTAGCCRAGAGGGAACTCTCTGACAATGTCTGAGGTCCTCTCAGCCTTTGGACAGCCCTGGTCACCCATCTACCCATCAAAGCTTGGGGTTGGTGGCAGAGGGAGGGAATAAAAATTTCTGAACATGGTTTCTTGGCTCCCTAGTCCTCCCACAGCCAGCTAGATACATAGTATCCTTTCCCATTGCACAGAAGGGGCTAACCGGGTTCAAAGAGGTGGGTTCACTGGTCCCAGGCCACACAGTCTTGGACCTTGGGCCACCATGCCTCTTGTTAGACCCTCAGCGGATCCGTGCCGGCTGGATGCCAGTTCTATCACGAAGCTCAGGCCAGTATGGAAAGTGCTGACTGGTCCTGGCTGCCCTTGGGGCCACCGCGGGGGCCCTGGCAACCCAGGCTTCGCTCACTCCTCGGCTCACCGAGATGGGTCAACTGGAGGTGGGAGGAGGGAAGCCCAGTCACCCGGCAGCCCCTGGCGCGGCCCATATAGCCTGCGGGGATTGTCCCGGGCTCAAAGCGAGAGTGTACCAGGTCACGCTCCCTTTGGCGAGCCGGATGGCGAGCAGAGAGCGCGCCTTGGCACCAAGTGGGCACTGGGGTGCGGGGCGCATGCCCCTGACACGCCCTATGGAAGCCGCTCCCGGGCTCAGGTACTGAATTTAGTCGTCCAGTGCCGCTGGCCAAGTCTTACTTCCCGGCCCGAGTTGGGGCCACGCTGGCGACAGCCGCGAGGCTACCCCGCAGCTCCCACCTCCCCCGGGATTTTCCAGCGGGTTAATTTCCTGTGCCGGTAAATCCTTTTGCGAGCGCCTGGCTGCTCCCTCCCCGCCGCTCCCTCCCGCATCCTGCCGCCGTGACTCCCCCAGTCGGTCAGCGCCGCCGCRCTTCGTCGCCCCCGCGCGCCCGGGCGCACGCCCTCCCCGCCCGCCGCCCTCCGGCTCCCGGCGCCCTGCAGCCGGGGCCCTGCTGCGCGGCCACGCGCCAGGGCTCCCCAGAGAGTCGCGTCCGTGTCGCTGCAGCCGGCCCCGTCCCTGGGCCATGCGCCCCCCCGCCGCCCCCCGCCGCCCCGCCGCGGCGCTCGGACTCTGCAGCCTCCTGCTGCTGCTCGGGCCCGGGCACGCGTGCCCCGCGGGCTGCGCCTGCACCGACCCGCACACGGTGGACTGCCGCGATCGCGGGCTGCCCAGCGTGCCCGACCCCTTTCCCCTGGACGTGCGCAAGCTGCTGGTGGCCGGCAACCGCATCCAACAGATCCCCGAGGACTTCTTCATCTTCTACGGCGACCTGGTCTACCTGGACTTCAGGAACAACTCGCTGCGCTCGCTGGAGGAGGGCACGTTCAGCGGCTCSGCCAAGCTCGCGTTCCTGGACCTCAGCTACAACAACCTGACCCAGCTGGGCGCCGGSGCCTTCCGCTCGGCCGGGAGGCTGGTCAAGCTGAGCCTGGCCAACAACAACCTGGCCGGCGTGCACGAGGCCGCCTTCGAGACCCTGGAGTCGCTGCAGGTGCTGGAGCTCAACGACAACAACCTCCGCCGCCTCAACGTGGCGGTTCTGGACGCGCTGCCGGCGCTGCGCACCCTGCGCCTGGACGGGAACCCCTGGCTCTGCGACTGTGACTTTGCCCATCTCTTTTCCTGGATCCAGGAGAACGCGTCCAAGTTGCCCAAAGGTGAGCTGGGCAGGCTGGGCGGGCGGGAGCGGGAGCAGGAGGAGGCCACCGCAGCCGGGATTCCTGCCCGCCGGGGGCTGAGCCTGGAAGAGGAGTCTGAGCCTGGAAGAGGAGTCTGGGGGCTCATCAGCAAGGGACGAGGGAGAGTGGGTCTGGAGAGAGGAACTTTCCCTGATCTCTACTGGGAAAGAGGAGAGGCACACACAGGAGGGGGCTGGAGCTTCTTGACCTAGGTGCTTGTTTTTCTTTTCTTCATCAACTCACTTTCCCAAGTTTGGGACCCGCCAATTCTCCTGCCCGGTCTGTGCCCCTCTTGGTCAGATCAACTCACCAGGCCCAGGACAGCTGGGTWCCAGTTGTTTGTGGGTCCTTCCTAAGTGGAAAGCTCTCCATCTGTGGGAAACAGCACATTCCCAGCACCTTGGAGAAGAGCCACCAGTTCTAAAGGCTGCTCAGCATCCTCGGAGCCTAAGCCGGTGTCTCTGCTTCCCAGCTCCAATTTGCTGCTCTGTCTAAAAGGGGAGCGGAGTATTCCTGGGGAGGAATACAGGCAGCGTCAGCCAGTCGTGCAGTAATGATTTATGGGTTTGTGKTTTTTTTCAGCCCAGATGTGAAAAAGCCGAACAAAAATGTCAGAGCTTGTTGGATCCCCTGCTCTCCTGGTGACCCTTCCAGGGCCGACCTGTATGTACATACCCACTTGGATGTACATACCAAGAATACAGGGTGCCCAGAGTTTAGGGGCTTTGGGAAGGTAAGGGGAGGGACCCTAGGGCAGCGCTGAGGAGGGATGCCAGCATCCACCGGGGCAGACGTCCTCACGCTGGATGGATTCCAGYTTGTGAGCATTGTGCCCACAGTGACCTCTGAGCCAGATCCAGCCTCTCACCTTGCCTCCAAGGCTTTAGAGGACTGGGGGCCAGCACCATAAGGCACAGGTTTTAAAAGGCGATATAGGTGCAGACTTGGCTGCAGTATACCTTTTATTTCATGTACTGAGAACTCAGAGATGCTGCTCACCTGGATGCAAAGTTCCTGGGTTCACCTGTTCGTTCTGCACTGCCATTAGCACACCTGGGTCTTGGGGTGGCCATTCCCCAGTGGATAGAGGACCCCGAGCTGGCATTTCACTCTGGGCTGGCTCTACCACGYACACAGATCCTGAAAAGATCTGCTCTGTGGGGTACAGAGTCCCCAGCTTTAAACTTGTCCTGTCCTCCTGCCTCGCTCCCCTGATCCACCAGAAGGCTGTGCTGGTGACAGGAGTGGGCGGCGGGGCTCGCTGGGATGGGGGCACACCGTGGTGCTGGTTGCCCTGGCCCTTCCGTTTGGTGGGCTGGCCTCGTCTGCCCCATTGCTTGGTAGAACAGGCTCCCACTCTTCCAGAGCAGGGCGAGTGCTGGGGCAGAGGTGTCAGGGTCAGTTCTGCTGAGGGCGGCCAGGTCCTTGAACAGTCCACTTACTCTTACTGTGCATCAGTCTCCTCGTCTCTAGAGTAGCTAGCTGACCTCTGAGATCTCCACAAAGCTCTGGATTTGAATCTGAAATCCTGGGTTCGAGTCCTGGCTTAAAACCTGGGCTAGTCGTGGTAGTCCCTAGCTTATTTGGGTCTCACCTTGCATGTGTGTGACGCTGGGTGGTCCATCTGACYGAGTGGCTGGCAGCATCCAAACCAGGTAGTGTGGAGAAGGTGGAGTGATGGGAATGGGAACAGGCCCTCCCCCAGCGTCTGTCATTCAGGGCATACAACAGACACCAGGGGCTACATGGGGCTGGGGAGAAGGAAGGAGAGGCTCTGGACAGGGCAGGCCGGGGGAGGACTGATCTCATTCAATCAGGACGGATAGAGGCCGCATGGGGGCATCTCCAGGACACAGCGGCAAGAGTGGCTGTGGGTCTCCCTGCCCTCATTGTTAGCCAGAGCARTGCCCCGACCCTGAAAACCAGAGGCGGAGTGGGTGGTGAGGAAGTGGCACAGGCCTTAAAGGGAGAGACCCGAGTTCAGGTCTGGACTCAGAGGTATGATCCTGGGTGAGCCCCCGACCTCTCTCAGCCTCAGTTTTCCTCCCTCTTAATTCAGAATGTAGTGACGTCATTCTCCTCCTGCCTGCTCTGAGGTCTGAACAGACCAGCTGGGCAAGGGCTCACAGTGCCCAGCACCCAGTGGTGCCCCGGGGGGGCCCCGTCACCCCTTCCTTCCTGCAGGTACACTGCTTCTTAAACACTTTAAAAACATTTGTATCAGCACATGATAGTTGTGTGTATCTGTGGGTACCCTGTGATAACGTGACACACAAGGCATAGTGGTCCTATCAGGATGATTAGCCTTTCCATCTTGGGCACTTATCATTTCTTTGTTCTGGGAAACTTTGAATTCCTCTCTGCTAGTTCTTTATGAAATATATAGTAGAGGCTGGGGATGTAGCTCAGTGGTAGAGCGCTCCCCTAGCATGTGCAAGGCCCTGGGTTCCATCCTCAGCACCACATAAAAATAAATAAACAAAATAAAGGTATTTAAAAAAGTTAATTACTTAATAAAATATACTATAGGTGGTTGCCAACTCTGGCCACCCCCTGTGCTGAGGAATGCTAGAACTTACCTTTGGACAACTGCATGACGGTGCCTCTATCCCCGCAGCCCCTGCCCAGCCTGCACTTTTCCCAGAGGCCAAGGTCGAGGGTGGGATCCCTGCCTCTGGCACTGATCTGCACACCATTCTTCTTACTAGACGCATGGCCTTTTTGTGCACTCAGGCCACAAAAAAAATTCTCATCTGTGAAATGGGGATGATAGGGTCGCCCTTCATGGGGCTGTTGGGAACGTTGGGAGGGTGTTATTTATCTATGAAGTGCTTGCAACAGCAGCTGGTGCCGCCCGTGCTGTCTKCTGTAACTGGGAGGCCCTGCAAAGTGGTGTGTGTGACTTACCCAAGATCTCACAGAGCTGGGGGATGCACAGACCGCCCCCCTACCCGCTCCTCCTGGCTCCCAGCCCTGCCATGCTGACCACCCACTTTCAGCCAAAGAAAATCAGCCTTCACAGGGGACAAGCTCCAGGCCTTTCTATGCTCTGCATCTTCCAGGGGAGGGATTTCAAAGAAAGAGCAGGAGGGAGCCGGCGCTTTCTCCCTGTGACCTTGACTAGCTCTGACAGTTGCAAAAATGTGTTCTTCTGCCAGGTAAGCCTCCCCTTGCGGCCACAGCACTGAGGGGGAGCATTTGGCCACAGAGCAAACCGGGGAGGAAGGGAAGGGCTTGGCAAGACCCTCTGGTCCCCTCTGCCCAGGCTGCGGCAGGGCACAGTCTAAGTCCGAGGTGTGGGAAGGAACTGCCCTCCTGGAGGGAAGTGGCTCAGCGAGGCCCGTGTGCCCAAGTGCCAGTTAGCAAACCCCAACACAGCCTCGAAACAAAAACCCAGGACGCCCGATGGATGTTGAATTCCAGATAAACAACAAGTGATATTTTAATATAAATGTGTCCCGTGCAAAATTTGGGGCAGACGTATGYAAACAATTATCTGTTGTTTTTCTGGAACTCGACATTAAAGGGGGTGTCCTTCACTTTACCGGGCAGCTCTGCACCCCCGCCCTCTGGGTGTCCGTCACGTGGCAGGTACAAATGCTGCCTCTGTGACCACAGCAGCCCTCCCTGGCAGGTTCCTTCGTCCACAGTTCACCCAATAAGGTGAAGTGGCCCCCAAGGCCCCGTGATTAGGGGCTGAGATGGGCCTGGCCTTTCTCACAGATTTCCGAAGGGAGAGTGCCACCACCCCCAGCGCGTTCGCTCCCCTGTCCTCAGCTCCCTGGAGTGACAGTGGGCTGCCTCCTCTTTCCAGCCCCAGCTCTATGCCTGGCCTGATGGTTCTCCCCTGAGGTAAAGGGGTCCCAAGCCGTTGGGGGGCAGTGGTCCCCAAGGGGACAGTGATGATCTCTCTTTAAGCAGAAAGGGCTCCAGACCTGGAGGCAGGAGACCTTGGACATCACTCGGGTGACCTTCCAGGGGACAGAGGGAAGGGTGGGGAGTGCTGGAGGAGACCAGGAGGCAGCAGTGATGATACTCTTGTCCTTGGTGTGGTGCTCTTTGAGGCTGTCCCTTCACTGCAGCCCAGCAAGTGGGAAGACGGCAGAGACACAGAGACCTGGCGCTCCAGGGTGGTTCTCAGAGCGTCCACCTGGGTGAGAACCCCCTGAGTGCTTGTTAAAATGCAGATTCCCGGGCCGAGGCTGGAGACCCGCAGGTGAACACGCCCCCACTGCCCTCGTTTCCTAGGCACACACAAGCCTGAGACCGGCTCTCACAGTGGGAAGGGCGATTTGCTGGATCTCTGGCTCTGCACTTCACTAGCTGTGTGACTTTGTGTAAGTTGCCAGCTGTCTCTGAGCCTCAGATTTTTCTTTTGCAATCGAATGAGTCATAGGAGGATTGGAAGGTGCCTTCCAAATCCAACACCATGTGGTTTGAAAGGGATATTATCCGGGTCCGGGTCCACTGGGGAATTGGGGCCTGGGAAGGCCAGAGGCCCTCTGAAGACCCTTCTGCTGGAATTCGGAAGGCTGTGGTCTCTTGTCGTGGGGAAGCAGGCGTAGCTTCTAGACCAGCTGGGACTCAGAGCTGACTGTCCAGAGATGGAGGGACTTTCCCTACRCTGTCCCCAGCCTTGGTCCTGGAGCCACAGGGGGAGAAGGCCCCTGGGCTTGAGAAGTGGTAGCTGGTGGGCGTGGGGCTCCATGTGCTTTGAAAGTGGGTGAAGTAGGGGACATGCCCACTCCAGGCCTGAGAAATGGGGACTGGATTCACCCAGGTGCCCTTCCCAGCCCTTGGTGGCTGGTGGGTCACAGCCTACAGCACCAGGGAAGAGATGTGAAGGGTCTTTCACCCTGTGAYCTTGACACATGGAGGTGCATTGCAGACTTGGGGGGACCTGGGCAGAACTAACAGGACCACTTGTCATGCTCTGCCTCTGCTGGCCCTGACCAGTGGGGACAGTCTCCTCACAAAGATCCGCCCTCAGCGTCAGGTCATTCAGGGGCTGGGGCCACACTAGACACTCCCTCTGGGCAGTCATTTCAGGCAGGATACTTCTAGAGTCACAATGTCACTAGCCCCACCGGCTTACCTGGCCTGACTCGGGGCTGGCTGGGGGGACCCACCCCCGTCTCCTAGCACCTGCTTCCCAGGGCCAGAGCTGTCACATGGGTGGGGATTTCTTGTCACTGACAAAAGGAATCRTTTCTCAGCCCAGGAGACAAAGCCTGCTCTCTCCTGAAGGTCACACCGGTACTTTCTCCTTGGTGACCCCCAAGGTGACTCGATTTCTTCTTCTAAGAAAAAAAAAAAAAAGCAATTTTTGCTTCCAGATTATAAAAATAACTGGCTCCTGTAATTAAACTGGGGAATTGTAAGGAAATATCATGAAGAAAATAAAAACAAAAAAATGAAAACTCAGAATCCCATCACTACTCAAGTTGTACAGTTTTCTTCTTATGCTCGTAGGTATTTTTAAGCCAAGTGATATCAGACTGCACATGTCCACACTTTTTTCTCTTTTTGAGTTGAAATGAGAGAACTCTCGTTATAGTTCTTTGGATTTCTTTGTTTGTTGGTTTATTTATTTATTTGTGGTGCTGGGGATTGAACCAGGTCCCCATGCACCCTAGGCAGGCACTCTACTGCTGGGCTGCAGCCACAGCTCTGAAAATCAACCCCAAGAGCCCGGAGGTGAGGTGGTTTCACAGCGACACTAAACCTGCCTGCTGTGGTTAGCCAGGCAGGTGGTTCCCATGTATTTTTGTGTGTAAACAGTTCAGAGCTGGGCATCCTAATKCATGCACATAACTTTCAGCTGTTTCTTTGGATGGAAACAGAGGGTGATGGTTCAGGCCTTTTTAAAGCCATAGATACATTTTTTGCTTGGAGAGACCATTAGCAGAGAGTCTAGGTCTCAGGAGGCTGGTCCTTAGCAGTCCTTTTGAGGAATGTTTGCATTGGACACTGAAGTTCAGAGGGCAGAGTGAGTGCACCTGTCATCACAGCTACTGAGAGACCAAGGCAGGAGAATCGCAAGTTCAAGGGCAATCCGGGCAACTTAGTAAGACTCTCTCTCAAAATACAATTTTAAAGGACTAGGGGTGTTGCTTAATGGTGGGGCACTTGCCTAGCAACGCGTGAGGTCCTGGGTTCAAATGCTAGCCCTGGATAAAGAGGGTCCAGTGCTCAGAGTTCCCAGGCCCAGGACAAGAGGAGCAAGGAGAGCAGAAAAGGCCGAAGAATGATCCCGGGAGAACTCCTTACCAAAACACTAGAGGAAGAGACCCTCACCCCCCACCCCACCCCCCACCCCCCCACCCCCCGCTCTCTCGAGCTGTCTGCGTCCACGCCCTCGGCTCCTGGAACACAAGTATCTGCAGCAGCTGCAGAGACTTACAGTAAATGGAGCCCAGAACTGAGGTCTGGAGCCCACGTGGCTTGACCTGTTATTGTCTAAATGTTCCCCCATGRGCTGGGGCTGGGGCTGGGGCTGGGGCTCAGTGGTAGGGCACTTGCCTAGCCTGTGTGGGGCACTGGGTTCGATTCTCAGCACTGTATGTAAATAAATAAATAAAACAAAGGTACAACAACAAAATAGTTTTTTAAAAAGTTCCCCCTTTTGATAGCAGCACAAAGACATCTCTTGGTCGCTTTAACCTGCATTACTGTTTGACCCCATGGATACTGCATATGTTTTTTTTTAATTATTATTATTATTATTATTATTATTATTTTTGTACCAGAGACTGAACCCAGAAGTGCTTTACCACTGAGGCACATGCTCAGCCCTTTTTATGTCTTAATTTGAGACAGGGTCTCACCCAGTTGCTTAGGGTCTCGCTGAGTTGCTGAGGCTGGCCTTGAACTTTCGATCCTCCTGCCTCAGCCTCCTGAGTTGCTGGGGTGACAGGTGTGCGCCACGGCGCCCAGCAACGCTCTGTGTGTGTTTATATCCCCAAGGAATCGTGTTCCYGCGCAGGGTTGGTTGAGGTCTCAGTTGCTCTTGCCAGTGGCCTCTCCCCTGCCGTGCGTCACCTGTTTGTACATGTCCTGTGTGTCACAGGCTGCCGCGTTTTCAAATTGTCTCCGAGAGGTGAGTCACCGGAGTGTCACCTTTCTTGCCTCTATTGGTGTCCAGGGGTTGGCATCGGCTTTTACGGGCACTGTGTCTGAGTTCCGGTGGAAAGCCACCTGCAGACACGACCTGAGGTGACCCCAGTGAGCCTGCCCGGTGCTCTCTGGAGAGGGCCTTTGAGTCCCGCTACTCTGYTCCCAAACACCGGATGTTTCTAAAAAGGTTGCCTCTGTCATGTCACTCTGTCACTTAACTCCGAGGGACATCTTGTTGTTGAACA